CCCCTCCCTCGCCACACCCTCCCCCCGATCCCCGCCCTGGAAACGGTAAAAAAAACGAACGGAAACGGGCAAATCAAACACGCGGAAACGTGGCACCGACTCGCTCACGACGAAGCACAACGGCTGCGGCTCGGCCCCCCCCGGCCCCCCACGCCCCTCCCGCCCGGGGCTCGCCGCGCTCCTGCGGGCGTGTGTGTGGGAGAGGCGGGGGGCTTCATGCGGGGGGGGGACACGGGGGTGACACACGGGAACGGGGTCCCCCCCCAACCCTTTTTTGGCCCCTCCAGCCCCGATTTTCGCCCTCCCCCACCAGGGATTTGGGCCCCTCCCCCAGGGTTTGGAGCCCCGCCGCGGGTCCCCCCCCCTCCCGCGGCCCCCCACCCCCAGCCCCCCACCCTTTATTCCTTCCCCGGGGGTGAAACTGCTCTCGGGGACCCCCCCCCGGGACCGGGCACCGCACCCCGACCCCACCCCGGGCACCGCGGGGTCCCTCCCGGCCCGGCTGCCATCCCTGACGGGCTCCTGGCGCCGACCTGCGGGGGGGAACAGCGATGGTTGAGGGGGGACAATGACCTGTGACCCCCCCCGGGGGGGGGGGTTTGGGGTGCTGCCCCATCCCCCCCGCACCTGTCTGAGGTGTTTGCACCTGGCCTAGACCCCGTAAAACGCCGCCAGCCGGTCCTTGAGCAGAGGGGGGAACTGCTCCGAGAACTGCTGCCAGTTCTCCTCGCCCACCTGGGCCTTGAAGCCGTGCAGGATCTGCGGGGAAGGGGGTGACGATCACTCGGGGGGTCCCCCTAAAAACCCGGGTGTCCCCGAGCCCCCCCAGACCCCCCCTCACCTTGTAGAACATGTCCCGCAGGTCGTCCTTGGGGCTCACCCAGGACGCCACGGCGTCGCAGAAGAAGATGAAATCCTGGAGGGGGAAAAACCCCAGAAATGGGGAGAGGGACACCCCAAAAATGGGGAGGAAACACCCCAAAAATGGAGAGAAGGACGCTCTAAAAATGGGGTGAGAAAACACTCCAAAAAAATATGGGGTGAGGGGCAAGGAGCACCCCAAAAATGCGGAGAGGGAAACACCAGAGACCCCCAGTTTTGGCCAGAGAACAAAAGAAAAAAAACCCTCCTCAAAACCCCCTCCTCAAAACCCCCTCCCGTGGGTAACCGCCTGTCCCAAACCAAGGTGTTCTCTCCCCAAAATGTGCCCTGGGGGTTCCCCCCACACCTGGAGCCCCCCCAAACCTGCACGACCCCCCCGGGGTTGACCCCGATCATGACGCAGATGCCCCGGAAGGCCGAGTCCTTCTCCTCGTTGTCACGGATGTTCCGCAGCGACGTGCACCTGGTTGGGGGGGCAAAAATCGGGGTTCAGAACCGTCCCCCGCCCACCCCCAAATTCCTGGGGACCCCCAAAAGGCTCCCCCAGACTCACCAGGGCCGGATGAACTGCTGAAGCATCGGGGCCACCTCCTGCGGGCACACGAAGCCGAGGCGCCCGATGGTGATGGCTGGAGGGGAGGGGACAAGGATTGAGGATTTTGGGGAGCACTGAGGGGTTCCCTCAGCCCCAGCAGCTTTTGGGGGAGCCCCCCTGAGCCCCCCCCAGGCCTCACCCGTGTTCTCCAGGAGCGTTTTGGGGGTGTTGGGGCGGTTGATGATCTCCACCAGGTTGTTGAGGACCATGGGGACGTAGGGCTGCATCTCGGCCCCTGGGGGGGGACAAAGGGGGCGGTCAGGGAAGTTTTGGGGGGCACAGGGGGGGTTTGGGGGGGCTCAGGAGGGGTTTGGGGGGCTGCTCACCCATCTGCATGCAGATCTCCCCGATGGCCCAGGTCGCGTTGTTGCACACGGAGATGAACTCGGGGTTCAGGTTGGTGCCCAGGATGGGCATGAACTCGGCTGGGGAGGGGGCGCAGGTGGGCACAGGTGAGCACAGACCCTCCCCAACCCTGATTTCAGGGCGTTCCCACCCCGGGGAACCCCAAAACTCACCAATGCAGGGCTTGACGTGCACGAAGCAGGCCTTGGTGAGGTCACCCAGGAGGGCAAAGGAGCTCTGGCGAACCTCGGGCATCGTGTCCTGGGGAAAGGGGCACAGGTGTGGGCACAGGTGAGCTGGGAGGGATCCGGGGGTTCAGGGGGGTGTGTGTGTGTCCCCCCCCTCCTCACCTGCATGCACTGGAACAGCAGGGTCATGATGTTGGAGCGGGCCACCAACTGCTCCACGTGGCCACCGAGCCCCTCGGCCAGGCCGCTGAGCAGGTCCAGGGCCACGATCATGAAATCCTTGTCGGGGGCCTCGTACTGCTCGGGGTGCTGGTTGTACATCTGGCCGGGGAGGGTCACTGTCACCTCGGGGGTGGGTGGCTGTCACCCACCCCGGCCCCCCCAGGCTCCCGGGGAGGGGCTCACCATGGCCTGGGCCAGCGTCTTCTGCACCAGGGTGACGCAGCGCTGGTAGACGGGCTCGCAGTAGGGCAGGAAGCCACTCTGCAGGGCCGTGGCCACCGAGGACAGGCACTGGGGACAGCGGGGGACATCGTGTGTGGGCAGGGGGTGGTGGCTCAGGGGGATGGGGACACCCCCCCACCATGCCGGGGTCACCCCCAGCCCCACCTCGAGCAGAGGGAACAGATCCTTGTCCTCGTCCTTGAGCTCGTTCCACTTCTGGATGAGCGGCGGCATCAGCTTCTGGATGTACTCCTGGGGGGTTGGGGACAGTCTAGAGGGGTTGGGGACACTGGGAGGGCCTCAGGGACACTCTGGGGAGGTTGGGGACACACAGCAGGGCACACCTGCCGTGCCACGAGGCCCTCAGAGCCAAGAGATCCACAGGGGGAGTTCAGGATTCGAATGTCTCTGCTCATCACCGGGCTCGGGGACACCGGGCAGGGGGGTGGTTTGGGGACACCGAGGGGGGTTTGGGGACACCGAGGAGGGTCTGGGGACACCGAGGACCCACCGGCTGGTTGAGGTGGTGGCCCACGGAGTCGGCCAAGGTGCCGATGGCGTCGTAGAGGATGAGCAGGTTCTTGTGCTGGTACTTGCTGAAAGCGAAGACGAGCGTGTCCAGGATGAAGCTCAGGTACGGCACCAGCTCCGTGCACGCCTCCTCCTCCAGCGTGGCGAAGGCGCTGGGGACAACGGGGACACCCCAAAACTCAGCTCAGGAACCCCCAAAACCACGCGGGAACCTCCCCAGAACGGAGTGAGAACCCCCCCCGCCCCCCCCGGGTCAGGCAGTACGAACACAAAGCGTCCTCACGGCAATCGGGGCAGCGATGTCATCACCCCCGGGCTGGGGGGTGCTCCGAGTGTCCCCAAATTCCCCCGTGTCCCCAGAGTCACCAGTGTCACCTGCAGGCCGCCTCCTGCACGCGTTTGTTGCCGTCCAGGATGCGCTGCAGCAGCTCGGTCATGAGGGGTTTCAGGTAGAGCTCGGGGGGCTGAGCCACCACCCAGTGCGCGTAGCGGCTCAGGGTCCAGCAGGCGATGGAGCGAACCAGAGCCTTGCGGTCGGCCAGGCAGCGGATCAGGTGTGGGATGAGCTCGGGCAGGTAGGGCACCATGCCCTGCATGCAGCCTGGAGGGGTGGGGAAGGGTCAGGGGACTGGGGGGATCGGGGTCTGTGCCCCCAGGATCGGGGTCTGTGCCCCCAGGATCGGGGTCTGTGCCCCCAGGATTGGGGTCTGTGCCCCCAGGATTGGGGTCTGTGCCCCAGGATCGGGGTCTGTGCCCCCAGGATTGGGGTCTGTGCCCCCAGGATCGGGGTCTGTGTCCCCAGGATTGGGGTCTGTGCCCCCAGGATCGGGGTCTGTGCCCCCAGGATTGGGGTCTGTGCCCCAGGATCGGGGTCTGTGCCCCCAGGATCGGGGTCTGCCCTTCCCCAAGACTGGGATTGGGTTGGAGGTGCCCCAGGACCGGGATTTGTCCCCCCCAGAATTGCAATCCCCTGGGCCAGGATGCGTTTGGAGCTCTATTTAGGGTCCCCCAGACCAGGATGTGTTTGGAATGGGTTTGGGGTGTATTTGGGGCCGTTTTGGGGTCTCCCCCCTGCCCACCTTCAGCGATGGCCCCCAGCACCAGGATCCCCGACTCCTTGACCACCCACTCGAGGTGGAAGAGCAGCTCCTTGAGCAGGGGCAGCAGGTGGGGCAGCAGCTCCTCCCGGAACACGTTGGCCAGGACATCCAGCGCTGCTGCCGAGCACTTCCCTGGGGAGGAAATGGGCTCAGGGCGTGCTGGGGGACCCCAAAAACACACACAGAGACCCCAAGAACAAACCGAGCACTTCCCTGGGGAGGAAATGGGCTCAGGGCGTGCTGGGGGACCCCAAAAACAAACAGAGACCCCAAAAGACACACTGGAACCCCAAAATCTGCAGGGACAACCCAAACCCCCTGGGGACACTCCAAACCCTTCAGGGACCCCCCAAAGCCCCCAGTCCCATTCCCAATCCTGTTCCCAATCCCTACCGAGGTTCCACTCCGACAGGGTGTCACCCCAATCCCATTCCTGTTCCCATTCCCGTTCCCTACTGAGGTTCCAGTCCCACAGGGTGTCACCCCAATCCCATTCCCAATCCCGTCCCCAATCCATACTGAGGTTCCAGTCCGACAGGGTGTCACCCCAATCCCATTCCCGTTCCCATTCCCAATCCCATTCCCGGTTCCCATTCCCGTTCCCGTTCCATACTGAGGTTCCAGTCCGACAGGGTGTCACCCCATTCCCATTCCCGGTTCCCAATCCCATTCCCAATCCCATTCCCGTTCCATACTGAGGTTCCAGTCCGACAGGGTGTCACCCCAATCCCATTCCCAGTTCCCAATCCCATTCCCGTTCCCATTCCCGTTCCATACTGAGGTTCCAGTCCGACAGGGTGTCACCCCAATCCCATTCCCGTCCCCAATCCATACTGAGGTTCCAGTCCGACAGGGTGTCGTCGTCGTCCTCGTCGTCGCCGTCGCCATCCCCGTCGCCCCCGCGCTGCTCCTCGTGCGCCAGCGTCACCGTGCGCGATTTGTGGAAGCGCGGTTTGATGTCCTGGTCGCTGTCGGGCACCGCCTCGTCCTCCTCCACATCGCCCTGGGGGTATCGCGACGGGACGGGGTCATATCGCGACACGGGGTCATTGT